GACATGATGCATGATGACCCTGTACTTTAGGACAACATGATTGACTTAGATCGATCGGGTGTTGTTGGTTCCTCACAAAGAAGTCGAGGTTGTTCACCATAAACCCAACTAGCGCCAATTGTCACTCCCGCATTAGCATTACTCTTGTGGAATTTTATGAATAGGCTTGTTCCTTCCATGATAGAAAGAATATTCACTCTCTCTACTGTCGACCTTTCTCTCTCTAGAAAAGGTTCTACCAAGTATAACATTAAACCCCTGTTTGGTAGAAATTAAAATTAGATTTTAATAAATTTTGATAAAAATTGATGAATATGTGGTTAAAAAGTTGAGGGTCTCATAAAATTTATATTTAAAATTAATTATTGACTTTAATTTAGATTAAAATCTAAATTTTAATTTCTACCGAGTGCTATAGTGACGTGCTATGTACCTATGTTAAGCAAACTTTTCCATCAATGAACGCATTGCCAATTTAGATCATAACAATTCGAGTTTCAAAAAATCCATTTAGTTTAAAAATGCAAAAATCTTGTAAAATTAATTTTCAACACGGCAGGACAAAACGTGGTCCCATGCAATGAATCTATTTAATTAAATATTTCAACTGTTCAAATATCTACTTTGGGAGAGTCAATTTAATCAATGATCACTAAATTTTGTTATATGTTAATACATGCTCATCGAAATTTAAAAGGTTGCTCTTTGCTCACTAAATTTTACTATATGTTACTACTTGCTCATCGAGATTTAAATAGTTACTTGTTGCTCACCTAAATTTGAATAAAGTTATCCATTAATCACCTATATCATTTCCATAATTGCTACCTATAACAAAGTTTAATGAGTAGCGAATAACCTTGTTCAAATTTGGGTGAACAACGAGTAAATTTTTAAATTTCAGTGAGCAAGTAGTAACAGATAATAAAGTCCACTGAACAACGGGTAACTTTTTAAAGATCGATGAGCAAGTAGTAACCTTAATAAAATTCAGTGACCATTGATTAAATTAGCTCACTTTGGAACAAAGCACAAAATGACGAGACAAAGGCTGCTAAGCATAAATTGTACTTTTTCAAATAAGAGTTCCAATATTGTAAACAAAGAGTGATGCTACAAGAATATAATTATCTACATAATGGTCTACATAATTACAAGTTGCATTGATCAAAACTTTTAATTCAAATCTGACAATTCTACAGTAAATTAATTCTCATTTTCAACCACACATTCTTCAATAAAATAATATTTTCCATCACATCAATACTTTTTTCTTCTTTTTCAACCACACATTTCCCATCATATCACTATTCAAAAATCAATTCTTCCTTCAAAAATCCCTACCTAACACACTCTATGTCAAGTTTTATGTCAAATTTAATGCATGATTGATGACAATAAATGAAAAAAAAAAAAGGTTGTTGAAATTTTGAATAGGAATAATTCAGCAAAGGACAGCCACGTATGGACCATTTACAAATCCCACGTGCAATCAATCGTGCAGAGGCTGCTACTCCAATAACAGAATTTGGATAAATAGTCGGTGAAACTACTTCTAAAGTTCTTTTAAGGTATATTTTACTGAAATTCACTGGAGTTTAAGAATTCTCCATCAAGTTATCTAACATTAATTTTATTTTAAATTAGCCACTTCATCAAATTTCAAAAATGCAACCGACAGTATCTTCGGACTATGAAAATGTTATATACAGTTCACTTCGGATATGAAAATGTCATGTTGATATTGAAATTTTTATATTAATCAAATCGTGTATTTTAACTTGGGATGCCCCAATTGAGTGCAATGGATGTTGTACGCTAGGTAATCGAGTACACGATCTCAGGTTTATCTTGTTGACATAAACGAACTTTGAAACACGATTTCCTCAGTACAAAACTTTGATATTTTAACATGTACTATACATTTGCGAGTCTCTGGGTGATTAAACACCATTTTACACGGCATTCTGTCTAAATTTATTGTCCACCCCGAAAAATTCCAGTGATCGAGTTAGAAATAAAATCAAATTGTGATTCCAAAGTTCTTAGCATGGACGAAAATGACTACTTACTAACTACCACCCACCACCTACGTCACTACAAAATAAAAAGATTATGCCACCTTCCCTTCAAATTGTTTATTTATATAATTTATGGACCACTCTTCAATAATCGATCTGCCTCGTACATTTGTTTGTTTGTTTTGCCAGGACAACTTGTCAAATATTTTAGGATGAAACACACAACACTTGGAGGGGAAACATTTTTTTTTTTTCAATATTTTACATGCGGGGTCCACATCATGTGAGGAGGGATTCAAAAATATGTGGAAATTCTGGTAAAAATTCTCTGTACCTACAGCTTAATTCAATATTTTAAGGTATTTTAATAATAGTTTCAAATTAATGATTTTTCATTAAAGGATTGGATGTTTAGAATGTGATAATAGCATAATAGAATATTCTTCTAATAATATTTGTTAAAATATTACGTGCGATACAAAAACAACATGTTTGATACGTAAAATTAGATATGATTGAATGTCAATAGTAATCATAGTTTGACAATCATTACATATAACCTCGCATTCGCTGATGATGGGGAGTAGCAGTAGTGGGATTGACCCCAAACAGGGGGGAAAGGGGGTGAGCTGATTTATCGTAGAATAAGAGAAATGTTGCACATTCGGTGCCGAATAGAAAGCTTGGCTATTTTAGAATATCCCTTGCTCGATTGCGGTGAAACATAGGCACAAACGCCACTTGTCCCTTGGATGGGAAGAGGCGAAGAAACGTTTTGAAAATAGTATAATGCCACATCATACTCAATGGCTATCTTGTGTTTTCAATAAACAGTTGCTACTCCTTGACTCGGCAAATCATACCACGACAGTCAAAAAAGCGTGTGGAAAAGAGGAAGAGTGCTAGCTAAAATCTTCTTTCACAATCGCACATCCATCTCCGCCTTGGATAAATGGACAAATTCCTTTAATTAAGAACATATACAAGAAAAAGTCTCGGTATGAGAGAGCACAAGACCAAGCACTCGGTGTTCGAAAAAGAGATCTCGAAGGAAAGGGAACACTTGTTCACGAATCATTTTCTAGTGGACTTGACTAGAAAGTCATGCCATTCAAGAGGAAGCAAGGAACGAACTTGCAATTCAATTGGAACTAAGGACCTTAATAGAATTCATGACTCCAAAAAGATAAATGGCCAAGAGTCAAAGGATTGAACTTGAGTTGAAGTGAGGCTCAATCTATGGTATTTTACCTCCAACCAGACTAGTTTTCATTACTCGTTGAACCGACTACTTCAATGTCATTTTCAATTTAATGATATTAATAAATTTTATCCACATTTCTCTCTTTCTTTTGATCTCGTTTAGTTCAATATATCGAATACATACAAGTTACTCCAGGACACATTACTTCGTGTCACCAGTAGGTAGACAATCATTTTATCCTCTTAAATTAAGGTTTTATTGTCTCATTTGTTGAAATCTAGTAGTTGCTTATAATCAAAGGAAAACATATATTTATATTGTCAATTAGTGGAGTAGTTGCGTCCTAAGGTCTTCCAAACTAAATTAAAGTATTTATCACAAGCCAAGGATATGAATTCTAGTCAAGATTTGGGAAAAATGATTTCTCATAAGCAGATCATACAGTAATTGATATTTATATATAATAATAACGCGTCGAGTTCCATGCTATACAATGCTTTTACGAGACGAAAGAGTTAAAATAATATAAATAAATAAAGACGAACAAAATCAAATTTGTCGATTATATTATTCCTTACGTAAATACTATAATTTTTTCCAAAAATGGAGAAACCGGGGAAGCAACAATCCTTGATAGATTGATCTATTATTGTACTTCTTGTCTATGTAGTACAAGAAGTTATGTAGCACCTAGTACAACTATGTATATCAATTTGTATTGTCTCATTTCTTCGAATACAAATTATTTTTCAGTGGTTTAATCTTCTATTACGTACAATGATCCGTTAGAATATTACACTAAAAGGAATCACAAAAGTCATTAAAGATCGAAGCCTCAAATTTAGCAAATAATAATAAAAATAATTGATTCCATAAAAGTAGTATAGTGAAAAAAATGAGATTTGCTTCATGTACAGGAGCAAAACCAATAGAAATTTACCGGATCACTCACGCATGTGGGTCCTGCAAATTTTTTTTTAATACACGGTGGAGGCCACTCATTTCATTGTAAGTATTCTTGTGGTTTTCTGCGCAAACATTTTTGTACAAATGGAAAAATGGGAAAAAAATATAGAATTGTGCTACTTGTACATCACAGTAAGTATTCTGGTGGTTTTCTGTGCAAACATTTTTGTACAAATGAAAAAATTGGAAAAAAAATATAGAATTGCGTTACTTGTACATCACCCCTTACACAAGGGGTGACATAATGCACAAGTGGCGCCTCCTCCTTGTGTAAGGGGTGATGTCCCCATAGCAAGGCTCAAAAATATATGCAAGAGACTTTGCTTTTGGTCTTCGCATTGGTTACAAAGTAGTTCCTTCATATCTTGTGCCCATTTTTGTGAAGTAGAGGGCAGAAAATATCGAACAAATTACTTAATGCAAGTAGATTATATTTGTTTTCATTTCAAAACTTCTATAATCCCTTCTTATACCGGACATGATCTCCAGAGCCATTTGGCTCCCAGAATGAAAGGGAAACAACACTAAATTCAATGAACATTCAGAGAGAACCAAGAAAGTAATAAATATAATCTCAAACAAAGCCATCAGAATACAAGAATAAACTATGGAACAACAACCTTAGATACACCTCTATATATCATCTTGGTACAAATAAATAATTCATCTTTGACCAACTTCCACATGCAGATATTACAATGATTGTGTGCAAAATAACGGGCAAAGAGGTGGATGCAAACTGGTCCAACATGTAAAGATTTGATCTGTGTAATGCTTTTAGGACCTTATTGGTAATTAAACTAATTTCCTTAAAGATTTGATTCTTGGATCTTGACCTCTGGAAGCCTTTCTTTATTCTGTGCTTGTAATGGAATGCTGCAAAATGAAAAATATAACAGTTAGGCTAATGATTTTAGAATTGTTAGTTTGATGGATATTATAATTAATGTAATTTGAACAATTACTTACATGACTGCCAGAGGAAAACCACTAACTTCTTGACGATTAATAGTGGGTTGGAGGAGGTGGAGAAGCATAGATGTAGACTGGTGGTGGAGGTGACTTCACAGGTGGGGGAGGTGATGTGTAGTGGTATGGTGGTGGGGGAGATGGTGATGGAGGAGGTGGGGATTTGTAGATGTAGGAAGGAGGGGGTGAGGGAGATGGCGGTGGTGGAGAGGTGTAGTGGTATGGTGGAGGGGGTGAGGAAGATGGTGGTGGTGGGGACTTGTAGTAGTAAGGTTCTTGAGGAGAAGGTGATGGTGGTGGAGGGGACTTGTAGTAGTAGGGCGGAGGAGGAGATGGCGATGGTGGTGGGGGAGATTTGTAATAGTAAGGTGGTTGAGGAGAAGGTGATGGTGGTGGTGGGGATTTGTAGTAGTAGGGATGTGGTGGAGAGGGTGTTGGCGGTGGTGGAGACTTGTAATAGTAAGGTGGAGGGGGAGAAGGTGATGGCGGTGGAGGAGACTTGTAGTAATATGGAGGAGGAGGAGAGGGCGATGGTGGTGGTGGAGACTTGTAGTAGTAAGGCGGCGGAGGAGAAGGTGATGGTGGTGGTGGGGACTTGTAGTAATAGGGATGGTGGGGAGATGGTGGTGGTGGTGGAGGAGACTTGTAGTAGTAAGGAGGCGGCGGAGAAGGTGATGGTGGTGGTGGGGACTTGTAGTAATAGGGATGGTGGGGAGATGGTGGTGGTGGTGG